AAAAGGCAACTTCAAAAAATATGGATGAGCTGGATGTCACCCAGAAATTTTTTAACTAGCCTAGGCAGAGTCCAAGACTCACTTTTTGCTACTAGTTTCTTAGGTGTTGCTAATATTCAGCCAGGACAGTGAAGCATTCTTCTAGAAACTCCTCAAGTCCTGGAAAAGAGTAAACTTTGGAGGTAATGGAAAAAAAACCATGGATTTTCATTTCTTTTAAGTTTATTGAGCTCTTGTAGCATAATAGGCTAGCTTCTGTAAAGATTAAAAATAACAACAAATCCTAATTCCTGTCCATAGGAAACACACAATGTTTATGGACAGAAAAGGCCTGCACCCATTTCACATACAAATAATGATTCATAAGTAAAGCATCTCTACGTGCTATTGACACATACTACAGTGCTGACAGATCATTATGCTACTGGTATGTCAAGCCAATGTCTATAAGAATAGAAACCTTATTGTCATTGCGTTAGAACCAACTCACAACTAACCATCCAGGGGGTTTTGGAGGCTATAAATCGCTCAGGAGGAGACTGCCCATCTTCTCTCCCAGAGCAGCCTGTGGAGTCCAACTGTCTGCTTTTGAGTTGGCAGCACAACTCCTTACCCTCTAGGTCACAGAGCTCTAAGAAAATGGAAGAGGAAGGAGAGATATACTGAAGAAGCAATTTTGAATACAATTAGCCATTATCCAGAGGCATCTGAACCTAGAGGAAGGGGTAGGAAAGGTCACTGGCCCATTTTAAGAATAATTCAACATCTTAAAGATTGAGCAAACCTAGAATTCTCAAACATTTCTTCTGTGGCATAACTGAAAGGACTTTTTTTCCCCCCTCTAGGGAATCAGTGACAGCTTACTTATCCTCACTTATGCTGCTTAATAAAGCAAGTTATAGCTACCAAGAAATATTTGCAATTTAGAAATTTATAAAACAATTGTAATAAACTTTCAAACTCTCCTCCCTGTTATCGTTGAGCATAAAACTATTTTTTTTAACTTAATATTTCTCCTCGCTCTTACATTGGCTGTTTTTAAGAACATTTTTTTTTAAGTAATGAAAAATACCTTAGCCTGGGAGAAACTACTAACAATAAATATTTTCTGGGAGGCAGTTTGGCGCTTCCTCCAAAAGCTGAACACAGAAATTCCACATGACCAGTTACTCCATTGCTTGGAATATACCCAGAGAAAATGAGAACTGAGGCTCAAATGGAGACTTTTATACCAATGCTCATAGCAGTGCTATTCACCCTCACAAGAACACAGAAACAGCTCAAATGTCCAACCACAATCAAATGGATTGAGAAATTATGGTACATTCACATGATGGAATACTATGCAGCACACAGGAGCAATGATTTTGTAAAGTACTACCTAAATTGGGAGGGATTGGAGAGCATTATGCTACGTGAACTAACTCAGTCCCGTAAGGACAAATAATATATAAGACCATTATTGTAGAACATGTATGAGTATCCAAGGGGAGAAGAATGGGAGCAGACAGGTAAGGATGGGCAAGGGTGGGTGGAGTGAGGTGGAAGAGTGGTTAATCATAGGCTCACACAATCTGATGGGTTGAAGGAGGGGTAAGTAAAGAAAATGGGAAAGATCTGGTGTGAAAAACAATGTATATGAACTTTTTAAGTAAACCAGTATAAAATAATAATTTTATTTAGAAAATATTTTCAACAAATACTGGGTGGTTATGGTACTTGATTGGCATTTCTTAAGCTGAAGGAAATGAAAAGCAAATTCAAGCCTCAAGTTGCAATACTTAAGGAAGCTTTGGGAAGAATATTAAATGATCCAGGAACCATTAAAAGAAGATGGAGGAATATAGAGTCACTGTACCAAAAGGAATTGTGTGACACAGGAGAATTTAATGAAACAACATATGAGCAAGAGCCTGTGGTGATGAAGGAAGAAGTTCAAGCTACTCAGAAAGAACTGGCAAAAAACAAGGCCCCAGGATTGATGGCATACGATTGAAATATTTCAACAAACAGATGATGCCCTGGATGTGCTCACCAAGTTATACCAAGAAATCTGGAGGATAACCACCTGGCCAACTGACTGGAAGATCCATGTATGTTCCCATTCCAAAGAAAGGTGACCAGACAGAGTGAGGAAATTATCAAACAATATCATTAATTTCACATGAAAGCAAGACTCTGCTGAAAATTATCCCAAAACAGCACATCAACAGAAAACTGCCAGCTATGCAGGCTGGGTTAAGAAGAGGCTGTGGTACTAGGGATATTATAACTAATGCTAGATGGATGTTGGCTGAAAGCAGAGAGTACCAGAGGAATGTCTACCTGTGTTTCATTGACTATGCAAAGGCATTTGACTGAATCACAACAAATTGTGGCTAACTGAGAAGAATGAGAATCCCAGAACACTTGAATATGTGAAGTGTTTACATGGACCAGGAGGCAGTCATTGGAACAGAGCAAGAAAACACGTCATAGTTCCGAATCAGGAAGTGTGTATGCCAGGGATGCGTCCTATCTTCTTATCTTTTTAATCTACGTGCAGAACAGACCATCCGGGAGGATGGGCTCTATAAGGAGGAATGTGGCATCAAGATTGGAGGAAGACTCATCAACAACCTATGTTATGCAGATAACACAACCCTGCTTGCTGAAACTGAGAATGACCTGAAGCACTTGCTGCAGAAGGTCAAGGACTGCAGCCTTCAATGTGGATAGCAGCTCAACATCAAGGAAAAAAAATATTCTCACTACTGGGCCAATTGGCAGCATCATGATAGACAGTGAAGGGATTGAGATTGTTAACAGTTTCAATTTGCTTGCCTCCACAATCAACACTCTTGGTACCAGCAGCCAGGAAATCAAAAGACAAATTGCACTGGGAAAGTCAGCTGTCAGGGACTTCTCCAGAATACTGAAGAGCAACAATGTCAGTCTGGAGACTAAGGTGCACCTGATCCAGGCCATGGTCTTCACAATTACTTGCTATATATCAGAAAGTTGGACAATGGCTAGGGATGATGCCTTTGAGCTGTGCTGCTGGAGAAGAGTATTGAATATAAGATGGACTGCTAGGAGAACAAAGTCATCCTAAAGAGATTAAAACCAGGATGCTCTTTGGAGGCAAAGATTCTAAAGCTTCATCTGACATACTTTGGACATGTTGCAAGGAGAGACCAGTTCTTGGAGAGGGACATCATGCTTGGGAGGGTAGAGGGACAGCACAAGAGAGGAAGACCCTCGAAGAGATGGATTGACTCTGTGACTGGGGAAATTGGGGTAGGTGTGCTAGAGATTCTAAGGTTGGCACAGGATAGAGCAGGGTTCAGGGCTGTTGAATATAGGTTAGCTATGAGTTGCAAGCAACTCGATGGCACACAACAACAACAACAATATTTGGTGGTTAAATTCATTCATTTTTTTAAAATGAGTAATCAAACAGGAGAGGAAGGCCCTCTATGAGGTGGATTGATTCAGTGACTGGGATAATTGGGATGGGAATGTCAGAGACAGTGCGATTGGCACAGGACAGAGTGGAGTTTAGGGCTGTTGTACATAGGGTCGCTATGAGTCACAAGCGACTCGACGGCACATAACAACAACAACAACAAAAATCAAACAAAATTAAAAATGCCACAAGTTTTATGGAATCACAGAGGAGAGTAACAGCTGAATTGGGTCAATACCCTTGAAGACTGAATTCAGCTGTGTGCCTGATTTGATAATTCAGCTAAATACTCTACTTTGTTTTAGTATTAATTACAAAGGAAAGGTGTGATATAATCCTTTACAACTATGAAGGTATTTTCTGACTCAAGAAAAACCACTAATATTCAACCTCCTTAATCTGTCTTGTTCCATCAGGACACTTAGAGGTTAGAACGCTTTGGTACCACAGTGGATTTGGAATGGGTCTATGGGCCCATAGAAGAGTGTTATACTAACACTCTTCTTTCATATTTAAAACCAACTTTGCATTAATAGGTTATGACCTTCAAGCTATTATCCCAATAGGGTGATAGACTGTACTAACTTAGTCACTCTTTTTTCTCAAGCCCAGGAGATGGTATGATTTATTCCAAGTATATGAAATAGAGTCAAGTTTACTAACTCCAAAAGATCTTGGATTCATTGTCAAAGATAGAGTTTTCACTTAAAATAACTGGATTAATCTCCTCTTGGACATTATTATTTCAACATAAATAGAGAGACATCAAGGCTTAATCATATCACATCATTTGCACAAGACTAATAAAGGGCAATGTAATAATTATTGGTAAAAGCTGAGAGGGTAATAGAATTCTGTAGAGAATTAAAAAAAATACACAATGTTATACCCTATCCCTCCCACTCTCACCATATTCTTAGCACACCTGTGAACTGAGAATTTCTTCTATGTGTGCGTCCTTATTGATATGAATGTGTCACGTTAATACCATTGTGTTGGGATATTAAAAACATTGACAATCAGCACCACAGTGGAAACAAAACCAATAAATATTGAAAATCAAAAGCTTAAGCCTGTAGTTTCCCCATCAGAACCACTCACTCACTTCTGTCAAGTTGGAACAGACTCATAGCTGACCTTCCACTGGGTTTTCAGAGGATGTAAATCAAATGGGAGTTGGTTGCCCGTCTTTCTTGTGGGAACAGCTGGTGGACCAAGACCACCTGCCTCTGGATTTGCAGAGCAACTCCTTACCCATTAGGCCTCCAGTAGTTTGTAGTTTTAAAAAATGCTCTGCATATAATAGTTGATTAAGAATAATTATAACATTCATACGACTGATGGCTTTTATTTGGCCCTTAGGAATTCATGAAGTGATTCCACATATTCTACAGAGGGCCGAATATAGGTATTGTATGGGAGCAATTTATTAAGTTTCCTCTTACTCAGCCAGGTGATGAAGATGAAATTCCCTCCCAAAGGAAATGATACACAATCATTCCTGACAAAGTCAGTTCAGGGCTTAAGAGATTTTTAAGCGGCTGCTACCTACCTGTTCTAGGTGAGTTTCTCCTCTCTTTTTATTATGAAGTTGAAGATAAGAGTCTGTTTTAGGAATGGGTAACCCCAATGTCAGCTTGTTTTTTTCCACAAAATATTGTTTGGACTTCCTTCGCCGACGGCCCCGTGATCCTGGCAGGAAAACCTCGTTATGTGAACTTGAGCTCTTTAAGTATTGAGAGAGGTTGCTCGACTTCTCCTGCTCACTCTCACTCAGCTCTGAAAATGGCCTGCTGTGGGCACCTTGCTCGTAGCTGGGGCTTACAAATTCACTACCCAGCAAGGAGGCTTCACTCTGTGAGGTCTTCTTTCCATCATTTCCCCTGGGGGACTCTACTGAGGCTTCCTTGGAAGGGTAGGGTGGATGCAGAGTCAAATTTTCTGTAGAGCTCTCCAGAGACTCTGGCAATGCTTCCACAGTCAACAAGTGCCCATCCTCTTTCTTATTTTTCCAATCTGGGTCATATCGGAGGTCTGAATATTTGTCCTGTAGTGACTGCTGGCTGCCCAAAACAGAAAGAAGGGGGGGGGGAAGTCAACTCCTTAATCAGAGCAAATTCACTCATTCTATTCCATTTGATCATTTTATTTTAAATCAACCTCAATCTTTCTCTTATTTTTCTTTTATTTTCTGTCAACTCAATTCAGTGCTGCCAAGTCAGAACGGACTCATAGCTGACCCTCTAGTGGGTTTTCAGAGGCTTTAAATCCCACAGGAGGAAACTGTTCATTATTCTGCCTCAGAGAAGGTGGTGGATTTGAATCACCTGCCTTTGGGTTGGTGATTCAATCACAAGGCCTAACCCACTCTGTGTGCTAGGCTGCTAACCTAGAAGGTGCCTTAAAAAATAGCCGAAGGGTTGGACTTCTGAAAAAGCAACCTCTAAAAACTGTATGGAACACAAGTCTCCTATTACACGGTGAAATCTGAATGAATTGGGTGGATTTCAGAATAACTGTGTGGTTATTCCATGCTTTAAAGACACGTCCCAAACTAACACTGAACTTAAACACAAGAACAAAGCAGTTTTATTTACACAAGTTTCTTAAAATGTGAAATAAAGATGGGCACAATTAATTTCTTTTTTCTCCCCCAAAGTTAATTTCTAAATGTCAGAAGACAACGAAGAAATCTGTATAATGTTAAATTAGTGAAACATTGAGGTTCAAGGAATGCTATTACTTAAGCATCCAGCAATAGTTAGCTCTTTCAATTGGTGACGTTCAAATTGGATCCCCCAAACTTGGTAATACACACTTTGTCTATGTTGTTAGGCACTACAGAGTTAACTACAACTCATATGACCCAACAGAATGGAATTTCACCCAATCCTGTGTCACCCTCATAATATAGGACAGAAACTATGGGCAAGTGAAATTATTACTTAGATACATTTGCCTTGTTTTCTCCTTTGGGGAAGAAGACAAGCTTTTAGCCTAGTGAGTACCTATTCTGAGTCATCTTTTTCAAAGATTTTACTTCCTATTTCCTTTCTTTGTAGACTTATCAAATATATTACAGAAATATCCCCAAGGTTTAGAATCAGCTCTGATCCACTGAAAGTTTCTTAATGCACAACTCTCTTGGTTGTTAAATCTATGCACACAGAGCTCAGTAGACAATTTCAGGAGAGCCTTTAACTTTAGGACGGTCCAATTTTAATAAGTGGTTAAATAGAAGGTCTTGCTCAGGGAACTAACTTTGTCCATAATCTACAGATGAACCAAAATAATATCCTCCCTTTCCCTCAAGATGATCTCAATTTGTAAAGTACCTCTAGTCTTAACAAAAAAAAAAAAAAAAAAAAAAGAAGAAGGAGGAAAAAATCGCCAGTAATATGGCATATTTAATGGCCTCTTTGATCTTCAAAAGCTAAATGGGAGAGATTCTCCTTCCACGAGTACAGTAGATGCAATACTCTAATCAAAAGGAAAATGTAAATCACCTTGGCTTTTTATGCTATTTGATATTCCCGTTGACAGAGGACATCATTTTATACTGGGTAAACAAACTAATGGTCTCCCTAATACTAATTTAGTCTTCTTCATGTGGGCCTAGATTTCTTTGATTTGATGTAAAGCAGAAAGTAAAGTAAAAAGCCAAAACTCCCATGTCTTGCTAAGTTGTCATTTTGAATTTGTGTACAAATTGAGATGGAAAACTTGTAGAAATAGGCTGCTCTTCCTTTTCCACCAAGGGAAGTACAAGATACTAACTTCCAGCAAAATACTGGGATGGGGATGATCCGTATTTGTCAGGGAGTCAGTCATGGAACTGAACAGCTCGCCACTACTCCAACTCCATAGGGCTGGCCCTGCCTATGGGCTCTGGAGAGGAGGGTTCCCGAACGATGGCTCATCTTAGAAACTCAGTATTTCTTTTTTTTTTTTAACATTCTTTTTTAAAATTTTATATTGGCTTGCACAAAAATTTAATATATATTGGCGAGCTCTGGTGACCTAGTGGCAGGAAACTGCACTGCAATCCCAGAGGTGCATGGTTCAAATCCACCAGATGCTCTGCTGAAGAAGGAGGAACAATTGCCTCCTATACCTGTCAGATCCAATTTGACGGTACACACATAAAAAAAAGAATAAATAAATTAAAAAAAATTAATATATATTGTATTCTATCCATGTACATTGTGTTTCACACACTCCTTCATTTACGTTGTGTTTCATACAATCATTCATATACATTGTTTTATAAAAACAATCTATGTCTACTATTACTCGTCCTTTCAGGTCTCCATTGGATCTCTCCTAATTCCTCCAAACCCTCCCTCTGCCCACTAAACTATGTCATGCTAATGATTTCCCCTTCTTCCCTATACTCTGGCCCCCTTCCTTTCCCCTTTTAGACTTTTATACACATCATACTAGTTACCTTTCTATTTTTACATCAGTGGTCTTATGCAGTCCTTATGAGACTACGTTAGTTCACTTAGTATAATGCTCTCTAGCCTCTCCCATGTCATATAGTATTTTATGAAATCTACGCCTGAGTGCTGTGTAGTATTCCATTGTGTGAACGTACCACAATTTCTCAATCCATTTGCTGTTGGACATTTGATTGTGAATACTACTACTATGAACATTAGTGTAAATATCTTTGTGTCTCAGTTCCATCTCAGTGTCTCAGGGCACACTCTCAATAAGCTCTAGGTCTGACATTACTAACCTGAGTGTCAGCTGGAAAATGGTTTTATTCCACAGCCAATTCCTCTCATGTAGAAATGGGGATTGATTTTATTAGTTTTGTTTCTTTCTCAGGACTCCTTAGGGATTAAGAAACTCTGGTCATTCACACCCACCAGGGACTCTGAGAGAGAAAAATAGTCCATTTCCTCCCATGCTATTTACAGCCTCCTGAAAAATCTGCTAGAGGGTTAGCTGTGAGTCACTTCTGATTCAATAGCAATGATGAAATAAGATTTAAATATTGCATTTTGCCCAAGTACTTTAAAGGAAGTATCATAGTCCACAGTGAGTTGTGATACTAATTAAAAGATTGCACGTCTCTGATGGTTTGAACCAACCAGTAGCTCCTTCAGAGAAAGATGGGCAGTCTCTGAGGAACCCAATGTAGGGTCTCTATGGGTCAGAACTGAGATTCTATGGTTGTGAATTTCAAGTTTGATGCACCTTAAATGCAGTTGTCTTTATTTTACTTTACACTGTGGTCATCTTGTCTCGTCATGTAGACTCCAGGGCTCTAGATAGTGGAGACTGTGTTGTCCTTTTTACCCACTCCCTGCTTTGGGGTTGTGTGTTGTGCTCTGGGCATAAAGACAGTAAATACTTCCTGAGAGCTTGTTTGGAGGTTCTAGCAGGGGAGCGCAGCTACTGGTATATCCTTGACTGAAGGACGGTCTTCCTTCTATCAAGGATGGTCGTCCTCTTCAACTGAACACACAGCTTCAGGTGGGATGCACATGGATTGGTGAGGGAGGAAGGGGAAACACTCCTAGCCAGCCAGATCAGTCAAATCAACCCTGATGATCCACGTGGTGACAGATGTTGCAGCCAGATTGCCCTCACACCCGGTAAATGCTTTTTTAAATAAATAGCATGGTTTTTTAAAAGCTCCCAGTTATAAGAATATGGCATAAGATGGCTATTTTCAAAATTATGTAGTAATCTATTAGAATATAAATATAAAGAAGTTTCAGACGTTGCACTTTACTTAAACTGAGTTAACTTAAGGTTCAGTGGTGGTTGTTTAAACAAAGGAGAAAAAGATAAAGAGTACCTCCATTATTGTGTTCAAATGAACAAAACTTTTTAGTGAAGATGCAGTTTTTATCTATCTGTGCTATCTTGTTGTTGAGTGCCATCAAGTCGACAACTGGTTATAGCAACACTGTGAACAACAGAGAGGAACCTTGCTCTAACCTGCACAAAATTCATGATCTCTGTCATGTTCAAGCCCATTGTAGTCACTGTATCGTTCCATCTTGTTGAGCGACTTTTTCTCTTTCATGCTAAAACCATCTTAGCATGATGCCTCTCTCTAAAGACCGGTTCCTCTTGAAAATATGCCCAAAGTAAGTGAGATGAAGGTTCATCATCACTTCTAAGGAGCACCCTGGTTACACACCTTTCAAGACAGATTTGTTTATTCTTTGGCAGTTCATAAGATATTCAATACTCTTCACCAACACCATAATTCAAAGGCATCAATTCTCCTGTCATCCTTATTCATTGTTCAACTTTCAGATGCATAAGAAACAATTGAAAATACCGTTGCTTTGATCAGGTGTACCTTAATATTTTTTAAATTTTTTTTATTCATTTTAATGAAAGTTTACAGAAACTTAGGGTTTCTAGTCATTGTTTGTTGTACTTTTCTCCCTGCCCACCTCCTCCCCCCAATTCGCTCTTCTCTTTGAAAAGTAAAAGAAAAATTCTTTCACTGTTATACAATCCCTCCCTCCAGTCCACTCCACTCCACTTGTGCAGCTGTTATTCTGGACTCCTGTCATGGCAATAACACCTAATCATATATCCCTTTTAAACAGTCCTCTCCCTCATCTGTTTCAATGCAGTATACATTACTTATCCCCTTTCTCAGTCCTCCCTCAAACCTGATGTCAGTTCTGTTTTACAACAGTGGCCCTATGCAACATTTGTCCTTTTGTGACTGAGACATTTCACTCAGCATAGTGTCCTCCAGGGTCACCCATTTTGTATAATATTTCATGAGTTCTTTGTTTTTCAATGCAACATAGTATTCCATTGTGTGAAAATACCAGATCTTCTCTTTCCTTTCATTTGTTGATGGGCACTTGGGTTGCTTCCAACTCTTTGCTATTGCGAACAAAGCTGCAATAAACATGGGTGTGCATATATCTGATTGGGTGGCAGTAATGGTATTTTAGAGTATTTCCTAGTAGTGGAAATGCTGGGTCAAATGGTATTTCTACTTGCAACTTTTTGAGAAAGTGCCATACAGCCTTCCATAGTGGTTGCACCATTTACCATTTTACCAGTTTCTCCACCT